GTGTAGAGTTCTCCATACACGAGGTCTCTCTCCCTTCCTTCCTGGAGTATGCCTGTGGTAAATATATAGAGATTTATACGGTATAGTCCTGGTCTGTATTTTAATCCACATTCATCGAAGTTTATTAAGCCCCTCCTGCCCTGTCATCTTTGTATGCTCCCCACTCTTTATGTCTCTTGGGTGATGGGGACATCCCCCTGATTTATGGATTCAATTGTTACACTTTTTAGGTTCTTTGAAAACACCTAACGTGATGTCTCCCTTTAGAACAACCTACGAACATTGGTGTCTTGGAGCCGGGGGCCAGAGGGGGGGAGTTTCGCTGCTCTATTCCCTCCTGGTAGAATCTGAAAGTAAATTACCCTATATGTTAGCTTGGGAACAAGACCTGGAAAAGGTTATTCCTCTGGATGTCTGGCATCAATGTTGTTCCCGTGTGTCATCTGGTTTACTCAATATTTCACTAATAGAAGCTAATTATAAGGTTTTATCTAGGTGGTATTTGGTTCCCGCCAGACTAGCGAGAATATACCCAGAGGTCTCGCCTCATTGTTTTAGGGGATGTGCTCACTTGGGCACGATATATCACATATGGTGGGAATGCCCCAAATTGAGACCTTTTTGGAACCGGCTGTATGCTCTCATATTTAGGGTTACTGGGGTCAGAGTCCCACGAGATCCCCAATATGTGTTGCTGAATTGCCCGATTCCAGGACTGTCTAAAGCTCTGGATAAATTAATTACTTTCTTTTTGTTGGCAGCCAAAATAACCATAGCTAGGGCTTGGAAAACTCCAACAATTCCATTCCACTCGGTTAAACAAAAAATGTCGTGGATTATGGTCCATGATAAACTTCACAGCATCCTCCAAGATACTAAAAAAAGCTTTGAATTGACCTGGACCCCCTGGTTGTTATATACAGGGGTGCTGGAAACCAGGTAATTTTCATTGAACATTTTTCTGGAATTTTTCTCTGGGGACTATGTTTAATGATTAAGTAGATGTTGGGCTATTTGGTCGAGGATGGAGCTACTCTTTTCGGACTCTTAAGCTGTTCTGCGTCCTTTAGCATCTATTTCCTTTTCCTTTTATTGTCTGTCTGTCTTTTTTTTCATTATGCTCGCACACATGAGCTGTTTAGTGCATTGATGTTGGACAGAAAGTCTTCTATATATATAGATATGGAGGAGATCATAATAAATGTTTGCTGCAGATATAGGCGGATCCCTATGCCAGATATTCCTCTCAGACTGTTTTGAGTTTTTGTTTTTGCTGATGGGGGATAAATTGTCAAGAATAGGGTGATAGATATGATCAGGGCCGGACTGGCCATAGGGCAAACCGGGCACTTGCCCGGTGGGCCGGGCCGGCACGAAAACAATCAACCTGATTGTGTTCGGGCCGGTTTGCTATGCCTGATGGCCGGCTCTTAGCAGAGCCGGCACTACTACACAGTAGACACTAGAGGGAGCTGGTGGGGGAGGCCAGAAAACACTTCCTCACCCCGCTCTCTCTAGTCTCTACTCTGTGCTGTCTCCAGAGCTGCTGGCGCTGTTTCTGTCCCCTGTCCCGGCCGAGATATTTACATATGAATGGGCCAATATTGAGTGGGGCACTCAGATTAATAACGTGCTGGATTAGTCTGACACTAGTTCATTTTAATACTTTATTGCTCTGAAGTATGTGTATAGGGAAGTGCCGCGGGTGGCCCACGTGCAGTAGAGCCTTCTAGGCCGAACCTCTTATTTTTAAGTAAGTCAGGTCGTTGGAGATCTTGAGGAGTTGGAGTTTGACAGAACACCGGCTGCCTTTCTGAAAGCCCGCTAAATAGTCGGGCTCCTCGGTGGCCACCTGCAACTTCCTCCGTCCACTTCAGCTGCCATAGGCCAGGAATAAGACTGCATGGCTACCATTGGCAGAGAAAGAGCGGGTCCTGAAGTGAGGGCACAAGGAGGCAGCTGGGCATAATGCTGGACTGGAGGCTTCACACTGCTGAACTCTGCATCACACCGCTGAACTCTGCACTCTGCGTTGCACCTCTGACTTCTGCGTTGATTCGGCTGTGTTAGGTCCCGCGCAGCAGCCTTCTGGGGAACCACGCGGTGCCTTCTTACCGGGCTTCCACCGGCTGCCAATCTTTCCCTCCTGAGACCCTTTGCCCGAGACTTCAGGCTGGTACCCCGGAGCAGAGCGGCAGCACAAAGTATGTACCAAATTCATATACTATTATTGTGCATTGCTGTATAATGTTTTGCAGGGATTTTTAGTCCTCTATAGCTGATGGTATTATTCTGCATTAGAGTGTAAGCTCCTCTGTACAGAGACTGATGTGACTTCTCTGTACAGCACTGCGGTATATGTCAGAGGTTTATAAATGTATAATAATAGTGTGAGACTGTGGGGGGAAATTAGAGTGTTAGCTACTTTAGTGCAGAGAATCCCAGGAGGTTTGGGGGGCCAGTGAGATCCAATTATCAGTAGCAATATGTCTGTGAAGGTTCTCATTCATCCAGGTCATGGTATATCTGTAAAAATTAAGTCAAGGCAACTGGACATGCTATATTTTTCTTGAAGACGTTTCACTGGACATCTGACCAGCTTTCCCAATTCAGACATTTCTGATATGAGAAAGCTGGTTGGATGACTAGTGAAACGTCCTCAAGTAAAATACAGTAAGTCCAGTTGCCTTGACTAATTTTTTACAGATATTCTCTATTAGCAAGCTTCCTATATTGTTGCAAGGTTTGTGTATTGGTTGTAGCAAGGCTTGTGTGTCAGCTGTAGCCCTCCGGTACTTACTAGTGGCCGGCCCTGCCCCTCGATTGCGCTTCTATGTTTGGCTCCGTCCCCTGTTGTGAGGGGTGTGGCCTGCCGGTGGTCATGTGATTGGGCTGCTCAGTCTAAAATGCCCGGGCCTATTTTTAGTCCCAGTCCGGCCCTGGATATGATCTGTTTTACAGAACTATTATATATGGTGTGTATGGCATCTAGTGATCCCCCCCCTACTACTTGATTATGCTAATGTGGAAGAATCTGAAATGCAATTGTATGCTATACTGACTGTGCATCATGTGCTATTTTATTGTTTTATTCTACTTTGGAAAATTAATAAAATACTTTGAAAGTTAAAAGCCCCACATCTGGTATATTTTGTTGATGGATTTGTAAATTTAGGGGTGTGGTGTCCTGTTTTCTTTGGTCGTTCAAAATATTTTTTAAACCTTTTTTGTATTAGCATCTCTGTTTCTGCTTATCTGGCTTTGTCTCTGAGGGCAGTAAACCAGAGGAAGTATGAAAATATATAATGAACCACAATGTGATAAGCTTGCTTAGACTGAAAGTATATACACAGCCAAATGTTTTACCATAAACTCCCCATATGTATGATTTATTTCAACTGTTGTGTGTTTATGTAGAGAAAATATATCTTGCCTCAACATAGCAAGCCACACATTCACAAAGATGAGAAGTGAATAACCTGTGCAGCATATACACATTGTTCTCCAGTTGGTCTGTGCAGCGCAGATGATGATAAACAGGAGAGGATAGTAAAGAGGAGTGTGGAAGACAAGGTGATGATTCATAGAGGAGGTGCGATTGTAAGAATTGCTTGCTGTAGTACATGGGCTGTGGCGACACATTCTACACACATGTAAACTGGGTTTTATTAGTAGAGTTCCGAACATACTTTGCATGCTTGCCAAATGCTTCAATTTACTGATCTGCCCTGATATTTATGATGAAAACATGTTTTTACATTAATGTGATCTTTTGGCCCTTGAGATTTAAGCCACATAAACACGTGCTTTTGCATTTTTTTTATGCATTTAAATGAAAAGGGCAAAACATTTTTGTTTTTTGTATTTCAAGGGAAAGAGAATGTAGAAAAGCAAGATAGAGTACATGTCCAGCCAAAAACTTTGATCTTAGTTTTGGATACAGAGGGGAAGGGTTAGATCCCCTGTCAAATTTTCCCTGTTATCTGGGGCTCTGTTAGAGAGATTTGCCCTCACTTCCTGTCATGCTGACAATGGTTTACCAAACAGGAAGTGAATGTAGATCTCTCACATGAAGCCCAAGATAGCAGTAAAAACAGTAAAACTTAGTTTGAATCTTTCCAAACAATATCCAAATCACCCCCATAAAATGTACCTTGACATATACTTTAAAAATGCAATAGAATGTGGTGTAGCACATCCACATCTGAAATCTATGAGGGTTCAAGTGCAGAAGTGTTAACCGCAGCACAGAAAAATCAGGTCTTATGCTCAGCCAAATAGGGCTGTTCTGTGTAAATCTCAGAACTGGATGGACAGAAATACAAACCTTTTGGAAGGTAAAACAGCTTCCTCATATGTATTCCATCTGTGCATTTACCAGCTTGCCTGGAATTTTAGGTTTGGATAGAGTAGGATTCAAAGGTAAAAACCCTGTCAGGTTATTTTTTTGCTGTATGTGTACCATTTGGGAATTTCCCTTCACATCCTGTCCCAAAGACAAGAGGAAGATAGTGGAAATCTCCTAAAGTCTTAGACAGTTGTCCCTGGAACAGGTGCTTCAAGTGGAAGATTTCCCCTTACCTCTTGTTCTGGGGAAAACGCAAAAATGTTGGATTTCCTCTCGATTTCTGTTTCATTAAGAAATGGTCATCATCACAAATAGGAGTAAATCTTTCCAATGGAGACATGGCAATAACAATTGGTCTAATCCTTCCCCACTCCTTAAGTTTACTTAAGGTAACACCATGAGAAAGGAATACTGATTGGCTGCCATGAGTTCTTGTACTTGGCACATCGCTCTTTGAATAGCTTGAATAAGCTGACCAGAGTATTCATAGCAAACAGTTACCCGTTTAGCACACAGGGCACCACGTTTTATTCGGAGTAAAGACTAAAGTCAGAGCACACAGTTTAAGAATTTATTGGGCATTTGTCACTAAGAAGAGGTAAGTGTTACTGAGTGTTCAAGTGTCCCTTTGATCGAGGTTAAAGTTCAGTGCTTAGAAGTAGTTTACCACGCGTCTGACGGACTGAATGTTTGCGCTCTGAGCCTGCCACTCATTAAATGTGCGGAAGTCTCCTCTCTCTACAATGTACATGCGTCCACGGTAGTTGGGTTCCTCATATAAGACCCAGCTGGAATGACATAAAAGTTATACAATTAAAATAGACACATAAGAACATTGCATAAATCTGGTGATACAAATACAGGATGGGCAACCTGACATTTGTCTGCTGAAGGCCAGTTGCATAATGCTATTGATGGTCATACCCAAAGCAAATGGATATGGCTTTTTGGTAGAGTTGCTGAAAGCACAATTGTGTAATAATTGTATGCATGCGCCAGTGCAGTCCTCCACCTTCTCATTTCCATATCCAAATAACTATTTGTCAGCCTTGACAGATGATAGCCTGTACAAGGGCCATTTTTTTATCAGAGAAGGTCAAAAAGCTTAAACTGGCTGATAGTTAGCACACATATGGACAATTTTGTGGAATAGATGAGTTACAGCCTTTCCTAACCTTTTTAGCACAGAGGAACCCTTGAAATAATTTTCAGATTTCAGGGATCCTCTGCTAAAAGTGAATACATCTACAGCTCACAGTGCATGAGGCCATTTGCATTGGTGGTGGTATTGGCAGGAAGAATACCTCCTTACATTGGTGCTCATTGGGAAGAATGCCAGTCATAGAGACAGCGTTCGGCTCACTTTGCTTTAGGTCGGTCATTCACTCGGCTGCCTACGGCAGCTTAGTTAATAGACCCCTAAATGTCATCCACTAAGAGTTTTGACTTCACATGTCACATTTACATGTTTTCGGCTCAGTAGTACTAAGAAAAAGTGTCAGCCAGGGTCACACGTTCACTTTAATGCAAATTATACATAGTGTAAGCATCAGGACTGAGCAGCAGGGGGTCTATTTTGACACTTGTGTCTAGAGGGCCTTTAAGAAACTTAGTAGTGGCAAAAGTCTGCATCTGTTTATGGGATTGCTGAACAGGAAGTCAATTGTATGTAAGAAAATGTCTCCACTTACAATGCTTTTTTAGATTCAAATACCTTTAGCTCTGATAAGCTTCTGATTTATATCAAACATAAATTGTAATAAAGGTCCTAGATTAGCATAGTGGTTGACATACTAACCAATAAATCTTCTCAAAGCCAGTTGTATGATGGGTTACAATGAAACTAGTAGAAATTAGTGTACATGTTACATTTAAATGTACACTAGTACATTAGCTGTGGGAAAATGATGTAGGCTAACTAAGCAATACAAAAGCATTTTAAGGACATCAGGGAGTGTCACTCCTACTCATTTCCCTACACTATGATGGTAACCAAGGCTATCTGTAGACATAAGATAGTAATTTATAGAAAAGGTCATTTTAAAGCTGATTGTTCATAGCTGAATATTTGTGAGAATTTTAATAACGCATTTCTTATAGCAGTCATCACCAAAGAAATCAGTTTGTGGAATTTAATTTTGTTTACAAGTTCCCCCTTTTTTCATGTTTATGGTAATTAATTAACTAATTTCAATATTTTGTGGCGTTGTTGCATATGTACAGTATACAAGCATGCCTATATCAGTTGAAAAAATGATTAACACTTATAGAACAATTTTTTATCTGCAACTCTGTATAACATGAAATCAGTCACAGATCTGGCAAACTCTATCTCATGTCAATGGGTAGTTGGGATTCTCCTGTGGAAACTGGAGTGGTTAGAAGGTATGAACGTCACCAACATGTTTCTAGGTTTGTGAAGTTTTCTCTCTGAATTTTGTTTCCTTAGTATGTGATACTTACGCTCCATCACCATAGACTTTGATGGCGTTCACACAGTTCTTGTTCCAACCCCGTCCTTGGAGGAAAGGACAGTCTTCACAGAACTCCATGCACTGACCAGTGAAATTACATCCCTCAAATAGCTCCAGTCTGTAGTGTTCTCCATGCTGGAAGAAAGAGAGCACATGTACAAAAGTTAGCTTCATCATTTAGCATAACAGCTGAATACATATGAGTGATTATTTCATATAGACAAGAGGTACCAGTATATGCATATTTAAAGCAGAGCTCCAGGCATCAAAGTAATAGTTTCTCCCCTCCCATCCCTTCCAATAGTAAATACCATTGTCTGCTAAGGCTGCATCATTACATCACCCCTGCAGTACTGAGAATTACAGGGGGTGTTAAACCAACACCTGGCCATGACATGAGATGCCTGCTGAAGCTCAGTTTTTGAAGTCTGAAGTTCCCTCAAAGCTACTATGGGAGGAGGGTACACAAAGGTGTCCTGCAGAACATGGAGTGGTAATCCACAGGAAAGAAATTAGTGGGATCAGGACCCCCTCTACAGCAAAGATAAGTAAAGTTCTGATTTCAAAATATAAATATTTGGGAGTTTTATGCAAAACATTTTTACTTTGGACACTTTTGTGGAAAAACAGTTTATGTGCATGATTACCAGATTTACAAAAGATGCATTACTATGGTAGTGAAAAAAGCAAAGATATGTGCTAAGTCCAGCAGTCAATGGCAACCTCCCAAGTTGGGAATATGTTTTAAAGATTGAAATTATCAATTAATGAGTTCACTGCCACTGAAACATGTTTGAAATGGGTTCTGCTAGTCAAGGCACAGCTGATACTTATGGAGTACTGACTTGTAGGATGTGCCAAGGACAAAAAGACAGGCTGGGAGCTGTATCACCCAGATAAAAGGAGGCCTCATTGTGATTACGGAAGAAAGGCCCAGGAAGTTTTTCTGCCCATGAGCTCCATCTATGTCCACCACTAGCCAGGAAAACGTGTGGCTTCAGAAGTGCTGGTTTAGTCTACGAGGAAAGGGGCAGCCCTCCTAGACATAAAAAGATCAAGGAATACAATAATATATTATAGTAAGGCAATAACATAAAACACAAACCATTCTGACAGGTCTGCTGGATCCCATATGGTCATTGTGTCCATTCCAGCGATGAAAGTCTGGGTACTCTCCTCGTTCCAGAATGTACTGCTGTCCTTTAAAGTCAGGGTGATCATAACAGATCCAAGCTCCACTTTCTACTCGGATGGAATTGACTCGGTTCATGAACCCTCGGTCCTGAAAGTTGTCACAGTCCCCAAAAACTTCCAGTTTCCTTCCCGTGAAGCATTTTCCCTCATAGAAGATTATCTAAAACAAGACAGAAAGCATAATTTGTTCACATCCAGCCAAATAAACACAGTCTACTGTATTTCCTATACAGGGTCTGTTTTTTTTAACCAAGCTATAACTTGGCAGTGTATGTGTGATGCATTGTTCATAATCGTTATTTTTGAGCAATGTAAACTCTTATTAAAAGTCATGGAAATTAGGGATGTTCAGATACCAAGTACCGTACTCGGTACAAGTACAAGTACTAGTTCTGATACTTTTCCAGCTTAGTATATTTAGTGTTTTAACAAACAGATAGTGAAATCTGATTTTAACATAAAGAGAATCTGGGAATAAAGATGTGCATTATAGAAAGTATTTGCAGATGCTCCTGTCCAATAAATCTGTTTCATGTCTCGGCTGGATTTACAGAAGATATAAAATTAGATGATATCACTTATAACTTTTCACACCAGAATCTACAGAACCAATATGGACCTATTTAAAATCCCATTTCCACTTCAGTTCTGAGTACCATGGATGTGTATCATTACTCATTCCTGTCTACGTTTATTGCCTGTAAATGTATTCTGGAAAAAAGCATTTTCTGTGTGAGATTGGGGGAAATATTGCAACATTAAGGCACAGATCATCTCTGTAAAGCGCCCAGTCATTATTAGTCATTAATGTTTAGGAATTTTGTGCTCTTCTGTGTTTCATCATCACCGATGAGCAAAGAATCAAAAATCTATTTACGTATTTTAAGTGGATCTTTTACATATGAAGCAATAGCACATTGTGGGGCGGATTGAAGCAATAAGGAAAATTATTTTAGTTTTACTTTCATGCTGCCATAGCTGATCGGCACCAGAAAACAGTCATTTAAGGTTCTTTTATCCAAATCTCTGAACCAATTCAGCAAAATGTCCAGAGTATTTTATGCTATTTGATGCCTGATACTGCTAACATTTAAAATGGCCTCACGCACACTCAGATAATACACTACAACCAGGATCAGATATACCAGATAAAATATTTTAAATGTAGGTTTAATGTTCTCACTGACACCAGTCCCCACCCCAAGTTGTTGTAAATATAACATTTCCACCGCCCACTGCCCAGTTTACTCAGGGCCTGACAGTGCTCATGGGCCACAGCTCTGGCTGTCTCCAATGCTGTACACACCTTCCTAAACTCCTATCTTTTGTGCATTTCCTAATGCTTCAAAGACGGTGATAATGCATATCCTAAAATGCTAAATTTGAGCGTGTACCATGTAGTGCCATTATTTAATGATGCTCCAGCTCCTCTGCCCTCACCTCACCTCTCTACAGAACCTTTTATGCTGCCAGGGGAGGAGTGAAGGGCAATACTATAGAATGTCACTTGAGTGACAGCTCTGAGTCTGCTGGGGCTGCTGACATCAGATGCAAGATGGCAACATTCAGCAGCAGTCACAGGACGTTTGGATTTCAACAAAAGGGAGACTCTTCCAGGAAAATAACATGCATAAAATACATTAAATGCACATATAATCAAATGGGAAGATTGTTGTTGAAATAAATAGTCTGGTGACTGGGTCTCTTAAAAGTGCAACTGAAGCCAAAACTTTTTTTAAGTTTGGAATAGAGTCGGGGGGATCAGAACAGCTGTCAGGTTTTTATTGCCGTCTTTGTTCCTGTTAGGAGTATTAAACCTGCTATTTGTCCTAGTGAAAGAAAATATTATATTTTGTGTTGTCATTGGAACCGGAATAGATGGAAAACCATCCAATGGGGACACTAGTTTTGCTGACCACCAGGGATTTACCTTGCTTTGGAGGGATTTACTCTCACTTCCTTCACTTCCTGTTGTGGCTTTAATTCAGGAAGTGAACATGGGACACAGATGGAAACATTTGACAGGTCATAACCCTTCCCTACTCTATCCAAAACAAAACAAAAGTTTTGGCTTAAATTCTACTTTATCTGTTACTGATTGTTCACCCCTAATGTTTGGTCAGGGTCCTCCTCACCTTCTGTTTCTGTGTGTCAATGATGCTTGTCAGTGTTTGTTATTTGTCTTGTCTAAATGATTGTACAGTGCTGTGGAATATGTTGGCGCTATATAAAAAATTGTAATTGTAATGGCTGAGATGCCTCAAACCTGCTATGGTCTGATCAGGCTACTATCTTATGTTTGCACTGCCTCCCTGGCCTCGGTAGAAATGCCTTGCTGAGCATTCCTAGGAGATAAAGCCATTGTTCAGGGTAGGTTTTTCTGGCTGATTGCCATTTTATTCTTTCAGATAGGCTAGCACCAGAGTATTCTCTCCTTCAACATTTGAAAGCCAAACAGGGATGTCACCCAATTCAAATGTGCATGTTTATTAGTGTAAAAGATCCTTTAACAGCCAGACCGTGCAAGCACAGTTATCCACCATCTGAGGTCTGTATGTAGCTTTAGCCATGTGTAAAGTGTAACGTGATATTGCCCATACAGGTTGACCTAGCAGGCTCATTAGCCTATATTTATCTTCCCCTCATCCGTTCAGCAATCTGTTCACCTGCCAGAAGTGAAAAAAAAGTACCAGCTACTTCCAAATCTGAGGGAATATGTGACTTAGTGCACTTTCTCCAACATAAAAACACTATTGCTTGGCGATTGGCCATACCGACATCCATGGAGGTAGATTAAAGAATTTCAGCCCTTTATAAACTTCATGTGATGACTTGTAGCTTATACAGGGATAAGCCTCTTTCCTCTCAGAGACCAGAGTGGTGGGCAAATTAAGTATAAGATGCTATATTAGTAATTTTAATGTTCCGATTTGGACACTCCTAATAAGTCAGAGGCACAATAGCCAATGACACTGCATGACCCGAATCATTCAATAAAGTGATTCTGAACCATGTAGTTAAAGATATTAGAGAAAATAGACTTAAAGATATATACAATAATTAAAATCAAGTCTTAAAGATAGATAGTTCCTTTAAATCAAAGCACCCAAACTACTGATTAAACACTGCCGATTAGCTGACAACAGCTTTATAAAAGGTAAAAAGTAGATATGTTATCTGTATTGATGCATAATGTTCTCCAACACTGTGATCTTGCTTCTCCAATAATATTGTTGCTTTTAATAGCAAGTTATACTAAAAGAATGATGAAATCCTCAATGCACACAAAAGGTGAATCTAAAAATCATTGTCCTTAAAATGATAACATGTATGCATAACATTTTTAAAGAAAGTAAGATCTAATTTTCTGACAATTCACTACCTGCATACACATCTTTGTCTGTCCAGCCTACGATAACACATTTAAACAACGAAACTTGTTTTAGCTCTCTTTCTCATAATATGACTATACAGAGCCAGGCTAAATCTCTCTACTTACTTTTCCAGAATACTGCGACATCTTTGCGCTGGATGCTGTCCAACCCAACACAGGAGCCAACAAATCTGACAGACAGAAAAATTGGACACCCCAATATATATCACAGTTCAGACAGGGGCTGATATCACGAGCCTGCACTAACAATGCAACAGCTATAGAAGGTTTAACATTTTTGCTTGGTAGACAAAATCCCCTGTATCTAACAGTGCTGATCCCAGACTTTTAACATATTGTAGACAAGCAGACAAAAGATTTGCTTGGCAGGAATTTGGCTGATGAGAATGGCAGTTTCACTGCACCTTTTATGTATAGAACAGAGAGCATGCAGTGAAGGGACGCTCAGTGCTTTACATAGGACAGGGAGAGGAGTTTACCATATGTGACTTATAACTTATAGAAATGCACATTAATCCAATAATAAATCCCGGGAATGAGAAACTAATGGGCTGAGCTTCATACACTTGTACTGCACGTACAATAATTACAATACTGCATAGTGAATGGCCTAGACACAGGAAATACAGAATTACAGTAAATGGGAATTCCCGCATTTATAAAAATAGTAATACCAGAGTAAAATCTGGATAGGAATAAATAATTGCCAGCTGTCTCTAATATTCAGGGACAGCCCTGGACTGAGAAGATTTGTCTCTGCAAATGTTTATCCCTGAAAATGTCTCTTTAGGCAGCTGTACCACAAAAATCCAATTTTTTGCACATTATCTTAATATGCTCTAATTTATTAATTCTCCGTAGGCCCTTTAAGTGTCTATAATTATTAAAGATCTACATGAAAATGCAGAAATAAAATCAGTATTTCAAATTAATAAGATTGTTGTCTATAGTCTATGGGGTACTGTGGTGGTCTTAGATAATATAGAGGGCAGCAAGTTTGGTACTTTCCACAGCAAGAAGGGGAGATGACTTAAAAATAAAACTACTGTAGGGCACTTTTTATATGTCCAGGACGTTTTGGTTTGTGTGGCACTAGGTAAGTACAGCTAAGAGACCGTTTTTTAAAGAAGGTCATAGCTTAAAGTGATAGTAAAGTCTAAGCCCACACTCACACCTGCGCGTGGTGTGAACGCGCATCACAATTGTGCACGTTCGCGTGGTGGCTGGAAGTGAAGAAAGGGGAGCTAAAATTACCTGTAATATGGACTGTAATGTCCACAATCACTGTCTGAACTACCACCATAGTAGCCCAAGTGGCTACTATGGGTCCCAAGCCCGAATTGGGGGCGATTTGGGGATGAATAGCGGTGGACACTGTTACTTGTAAACACAGAAGCCAGTGGAGAAAGTCTTCCATTGCTCCATTCCTCTTGGTCTCTGACTGATGAGATCCGCAGTCATAAGTATCTCTGACACCAGAAATTTGTATTATATTTTTTAGAATATCGGAGGTAGGTATTACACATTGATGGATACCATTACTGCATTGTGTTTTATGTTCCGCACCTCCTCATTGTGCTATATATTCCGCACCTCCTCATTAACTTTGCCATGCTGTACATTCCCTATTGTACACCACCTTATTCTGTATTACACGCTGTACATTCCCTATTCTACACCACCTTATTCTGTATTACACGCTGTACATTCCCTATTCTACACCACCTTATTCTGTATTACATGCTGTACATTCTCTATTCTACACCACCTTATTCTGTATTACATGCTGTACATTGCCTATTCTACACCACCTTATTCTGTATTACATGCTGTACATTGCCTATTCTACACCACCTTATTCTGTATTACATGCTGTACATTGCCTATTCTACACCACCTTATTCTGTATTACATGCTGTACATTACCTATTCTGCACCACCTTATTTTGTCAGCAAGATCAAAAGTATCCCTTTACTAATTTACTTATTGAACAGAATGATTTACCTGACGATTTAGGGTTCCTCTGCATAAAAAAAAGTAATGCAGTCTACACGCTCAGAAAATGTATGTTTAATAGGAAATTGCAATACCGGTATATGTCTTCTACCTATGCCTAATGATGTAATCTTAACTATATGCCACCTGATGATTGTATTCAAAAAGTTTTAAACAAACAAAAAAAAAATTGCTTACCCATTTCCAGGATGAGCTCTGTTTACAATAATCAATTAATTTACTGCTACAGAAGATTATGGCAGAGAAAATGGCATGATAAAACAAAGGAAAGACGTGCACAACTTTGAGTCCTATTGCTGGGTCTTCTGCTTCAACTCCTGTTACAGATAGTTCACAAGGAACTGCTGTGAAACTTACAAAGAATGTATTGTTTACATTGAATTAAGAAATCCAGTATTAATCACAATAAAATGTCCATTATCAGGATCCTCCAGTATGTCGGGGCATGTGTATTTGTTATCAGAGGATTCCTCAAAAGTGTGATGTGAAATGGGAATGTTCTGTTGTGTGGTCTAATGGAAAAACTTTGTGTCGGATTAGACAGTTACAGGTTAGATATGGCATGAAAGATAAGGCTGGTGGCAGCAGGATGCCATTTGAAAGAGCGCTTCCTGTCTACTGATCCATCATAAGAGCAAGCCATTCTGAGTGTAAAAACTCAAGTCCAACATACAGTATGTATGATTTATATTCTTTTATATTGCATTAGTAGTATTAGTTAGGTGTTCATGATTTTGCATCAACATTACTGATTTCACTGTTGGCTTTTTTATTTTATTATTTTATTCAAAGCGTATAGGGTTTTTTGGGGGTTTTAGGGTAGTTTAGTTGATTTCATTTAGTGTTTTTAGCATTTGTGTATTTGTTTATTTGTGTGCTGTTGCTTTTTGCAATATTTATTTGAAATTTTTTCACCGTCTACTTTTTCTTTCTTTAAAAAAAATAAAAAATTCCAAGGTTACTGAGGGAGGTTTCTTTTAGCACAAGAGCAGGTCCCGGTATTCTGACTCCGATCGTTGTGATAGCGAGATATATCCCTTGCTGAGACCTCTATGCCTGGCCTGTATAAGCAGATATACTCACTGCGGACAATCCTCGTCAGATAGCTGAACTCGTCAATACCGATTCATTCAAAAAAGGTGTTTATCAGGTTACAGCAGATGATAGGAACAGCAGTTGAACGGTTATAGTATTGTGCGGTCAGAAAATGATGCCTTTCCTCCGTACTGTGCAGATCACCTGTGTGTCCTTGTTACATGTGGCTTTCCACTGTGCCCATGACACAGGAAGTACTACACACAGGAAGCAGGAAGGGGCGTACACTAGGGGAAAATACATCGTTACATGAGGAATAATCACAGAAAGCATGTTTGTTACAACAAAAGGCCACTAGATGGCAGCATAGGATAACACATGAATTTAGCTATGAGAAAATAGTTAGGCAAATCACACTATATAAATTCTAACCTATATAACAATGCTAATATTAACTGAGGCTATGCATCTCATATTCTATGCCCCTATTGTGGCGGCACACCCGGGTAGCTGAATAGAGTCTCCATAACCCTTACTTATGAGATATTTAAAATTAATTGCACTCAAAAAAACACCAAAAACAAAAAAAAGCATTTCTAAACCTAAAACCAAAATTAAATACATTGCAGCTTAGTCCCTAAATGTGTTGGCTTTTTAAAATCTTTTTTTCTTTTACTTTCACCTGGTGACCCTGGCCAGCTAAGTGAATCAGGATTGCACTATGAAAAGTATAGTAAGTATAGTAAGTATAGAAAAGTATAATAAGTTCAACTTATTTATTAATGACATCGGGGAGGGTGTTAACAGCGATATTTCCGTGTTTGCGGATGACACCAAAATAGGGAGGGTAATAGACACGGACTTAGACACTATAACATTACAGGAGGACCTGGATAAAATAGGGGAGTGGGCATTAATGTGGCAGATGAGGTTTAATGTCGATAAATGCAAAGTAATGCACTTTGGAATTAAAAATAAACAAATGGGTTATACAATTATGGGTATGCCGCTGGGGAAGTCAGAAATGGAGAAGGATTTGGGGGTCATTGTAGACCACAAACTGAAAGGTAGTTTGCAGTGCCAGGCTGCTGTAAACAAAGCTAGCAGGGTCTTGTCCTGTATTAAAAAGGGGATGTATTGCAGGGACAAGTCTATAATTTTGCCACTTTATAGATCATTGGTTCGACCTCATCTGGAGTACGCGGTCCAGTTCTGGTCACCAGTACTAAGAAAAGATGTCCTTGAGTTGGAAAAAGTCCAGCGGAGGGCAACCAAACTAATTAGGGGTATGGAGGACCAGAGCTACGAGACAAGGCTACTAAATTTAAACATGTTCACATTGGAGGTGAGGAGATTGAGGGGGGATATGATCTCCATGTACAAAATGTTCAATGGTGGCAGCAACATTAGCGATAAACTGTTTAAAATTAACTCCATTACAAAAACTAGAGGCCACCACCTAAAATTGGTGGAAAAAAAATTCCAGCACAAGGGGCGAAGGGGGTTCTTCACAGTAAGATCAGTTAGGGTCTGGAACTCACTGCCACAGACAGTGATTTCAGCAAAGAATGTGGAATTGTTCAAGAAACTTTTGGACGATTTCTTAAGGGACCGTAATATACAGGGGTACAGGTACTCCTAGAATGAGATCCTAATAGGTTGGACTTGATGGACTAATGTCTTTATTCAACCTCAAATACTATGTAACTATGTAACTATGTAACTATATGTAACCCTATAGATTTTGTTTATTTTTTAAGGAAAACACCCCATTTATTTACTATTGCATAGAAAGTATAGGTACTCCTTTGTATTTTGGTATTTTAGAAAAGCATAAATTCCTTTTATAAAAACAACCTACTATGTTTGCTAGGACCCAGGGAGCAAATAAGTCACATATGATTATACTTCCTCCTCCATGTTTCACAGTTGTTATGTAATAGTGTTGTATTCAGTATTGTGCTACATTTAAATATACTGTTGTGTAAATTTACCGATACTTATACACAAGTGGTCTTTCCAAACTTGAGATAGGCAACAATGTATATACTCTGGGATAACCTCCCAGGTATTGTTTAGTATTTTTCTTATGGTATACTCATGTAGAGATGGTACCAAGTGCACATGCCTGCTAGTTGTGGATTTCAACCACATGCCTTTGTACTAGGCTTTGTAGGAAGCCCTCTACTATGGGGTGTAGCAACACTGCTGAAATTCTTCAGTTTGTAAAATATCTTCCTGTATGTGGACTGATATAATGCTTAGCTCTTACAAATCCTTCGGTACCCCCTTTCTAGTCTTATAAGCCT